CTCCCAAGTTGCTGGGATCACAGGCGGCCGCCACAACACCTGGCTATTTTTTTTTTGGTTGCAGCCATCATTGTTGTTTGGCAGCCCCGGGCTGGATTCGATCCCACCACCTTAGGTGTATGTGGCTGGCACCTTAGCCACTTGAGCCACAGGTGCCAAGCCAGCCTGTTTAATCTTAATAGACACCGTCTGGAAGGAGTGAAAGGACTTCCTGCACCTATCTCAGTGGTGGAAACAGCCTTATCTCCCAGAGGCACCCAGAAGAGCTCCTTTAATGTCTCCTTGGCCAAACTAAGTCACATGCCCACCTTTTAACCAATAACTAAGGCAAAAAAAAATGAGGCAATGAGGATGAGGTTAGGTGAATCCAGAGCTGAGGTGGAATTAGCTTTCCCCAAATACAGTGGGCCAAGTCAGGGAAGTGTGGTTAGCAGAATGACAGCAGTGATGGTTACCAAGAGACAGGGATGTAACATTGGGAAGAAAATGACATCTCTCACTATTTCACCATGTGATTGTAAAGAGATACTGAAGGTGAAGTTAGGAGACTTGGCTGAAAATTGTAACTTTGAAAAGGTAACAGTTTCTACTTCTATAAATTGGCAGTCAGACATAATATTCATTTGCAAAATATTTAAAGGATAGAGGTTATGTGTCTGACTTTTTCTAGGTGCCGGAAATCAAAATGGAAATGAAAGCTGGCCAGGCACCGTGGTTTATGCCTGTAATCCTAGTGCTCTGAGGGGCTGAGACAGCAGGATCCCTTGAGCCCAGAAGTTTGAGACCAGCCAGAGCAAAAGTGACACCGTGTCTCTACTAAAAATAGAAGAATTAGCAAAGTGTTGTGGCAAATGCCTGTAGTCCCAGCTACTTGGGTGGCTGAGGCAAGAGGATGACTTGAACCCAGGATTTGAGGTTTCTTTGAGCTAGGCTGAAGCCACAGCACTCTAGCCTGGGCAACAGAGTGAGATTCCATCTAAAAAGTGAAAAAGAAGGGCTCAGCGCCTGTGGCTCAAGTGGCTAAAGCGCCAGCCACATACACCTAAGGTGGTGGGTTCAAATCCAGCCTGGGCCCGCCAAACAACAATGATGGCTGCAACCAAAAATAGCTGGGCGTTTTGGCAGGCACCTGTGGTCCCAGCTACTTGGGAGGCGGAGGCAGGAGACTCACTTGAGCCCTGGAGTTGGAGGTTGCTGTGAGCTGTGATGTCACAGCACTCTACCCAGGTGGACAGCTTAAGGCTCTGTCTCAAAAAAAAAAAAGTAAAAAAGAAAAAGGAAAGGAAGGAACAGAAGGAAGGAAAGGAAAGAGAAAAGAAAAGAAAGAAGAAGGGAGGGAGGGAGACCTAGTACTTGCTTTCATAGTAGGGGAGGAGGTTGTAGACATACATATCTAAGCAGGAATTTACAATCTAATGGCAGTGATTGCAATAGGTGGTCACCTGTAATGCCAGCACTTTGGGAAGCTGAGGTGGGCAGATTGACTAAGCTCACTAGTTTGAGACCAGCCTGAGCTAGAGCGAGACTCCCATCGCTAAAAAAATAGCTGGGTGTTGTGGCAGGCACCTATAGTCCCAGCAACTCAGGAGGCTGAGGCAAAAGAATTGCTTGAATCCAAGAGTCTGAGCTGTGATGGCAGTGCACTCTACTATGGAGACAAAGTCTTTCCGACTCTGTCTTGAAAGAAAGGGAAGGGAAGGGACTTATAATGCCAGAAGAGTTTTGAAAGTAGCTGCCTCTGAGATACAAGCCTGGGGGATGAAACAGCAATCAGCTGGGGTTTTGTTTGTTTATTTGAGACAGTCTCAAGCAATCACCCTGGGTAGAGTGCTGTGGCGTCACAGCTCATAGCAACCTCAAACTCTTGAGCTGAAGTGATTCTCTTGCCTCGGCCTCCCAAGTAGTTGGGACTACAGGTGCCCGCCTTCTGCCACCCTCGGTATATGAGACCGGTGCCCTACTCACTGAGCCACAGGCACTGCTCAGGTCAGGCTATTTTTTGGTTGTAGTTTGTCATTGTTTGGCAGGCCTGGGCTGGATTCGAACCCGCCAGCTCTGGTGTATGCAGCTGGTGCCCTGGCCATTAAGCTACAGGTACCGAGCCTCAACTGTTTTTTGATAGTAAGTTTTGTAATGTTCTTTGATTTTTGAAACCAAGTGTAGGCATTACTCTGATAAATTTAAGTTAATAATAACACTTTTTTAAAGTAGGGGTTAGCCAGATGGGGAAAATAAAATGACATTGGCATGCTGTAACCTGTAAATTGTTCCATAAACCTGAGAGTTCAATTTTTTTTTTTTTTTTGAGACAGTCTCACTTTGTCCCCCTTGGTAGAGTGCCATGGCATCATAGTTCACAGCAACCTCAAACTTTTGGGCTCAAGTGATTTTCTTGCCTCAGACTCCCAAGTAGCTGGGGCTACAGGTCCCCCTCACAATGCCCAGTTAATTTTTTAGAGAGGGGGTCTTGCTCTGGCTCAGGCAATTCCTTCACCTTGGCCTCCCAAGTGCTAGGCTTACAGGCATCAGTCACTGTGCCTGACCTGAGAGTTCAACTCATTTAAAATTAATACATCAGCCTGGTGAGGTAGCTCATGCTTGTAATGCTAGCACTTTGGGAAGCTGAAGCAAGGAGGATTGCTTGAGGTAAGCAGTTTGAGACCAGCCTGAGTAAGAGCCAGACCCTGTCTCTAAAAATAGCTGGGCATTGGACCCAGCTACTTGGGAGGCTGAGGCAAGAGGATCACTTGAGCCCAAGAGTCTGAGGTTGCTGTGAGCTATGATGCCATGGCACTCTACCAAGAGCAACAAAGTGAGACTATGTCTCAAAAAAAAAAAGACTGATAGCAGTGTATTCTTCCCTTCCTGAAAAACCTTATCAATGGCTAAGTTTCAAAGGAAAAGTATTTACCACTAATTTCATTGGATAAATTAGTACCTTTTTGTTACACCATCAAATACCATGAAAATAGACATAATCATGTCAATAATTAAAAGCAGTCTGCATAACATGACTCTTATACACTGTGCAATTGAAACTGTCATTTGAAAAGAATAAAACTATATCTTTTGTAATATAATATAGCTGCAAATAAGAAAGATCTTGAAATTTGCAACAACATGGGTGGAACTGGAGAACACCGTAAGTGAAATAAACCAGGCACAGAAAGTGAAATCTTGCATGTTCTCACTCTTACATGAGAGCTAAATATTAGAATAATTGATCTTCTGGAGACAATAGAGCTGAATGAGGAGTACCAGAGGCTGGACAGCCAGGGTGGGAGGGCACAGAGTGGGGATGGTTAATGGGTGCAAAAATATTGCTGGTATTGAGATAGAGTGAACAATATTAAATAGCACAATAAAGTGAGTATAGTCAACAATAAATTATGGTACTTTAAAATAACTAAAAGAGTGGAATTGGAATGTTCAAAAATGATAAATGCTTGAGGCAATGGATACCCCAGTTATCCTGACTTCATTGATACATATCGTATACTGTATGTATCAAAACATCGTATGTATCCTATACATATATAAATTATGTACTCATAATAATTAAAAATAATTTTTAAAATATGTCCTTAAAATTGACATATACTTTATTTATATAATTGTGGCTCATGCCTGTAAGCCTATCTACCCTGGGAGGCTGAGGTGGGAGGATTGCGTAAGATCTGCAATTGAAGACCAGCCTTAGCAAGGGCCAGACTCTATTCCCACTAAAAGTAGAAAAAAATAGCTAGGCGTGGTGAGGCAGGCTGCAATCCCAGCTATAGGAGAGGCTGAGACACTATAGGATATAGGAGGGAGGCTGAGGCAGTGGGGGATAGCATGAGCCCAGGAATTCAAAGTTGCAATGGTGAGCTGTGATCATACAACTGCCCTCTCACCCAGCTGAGAGAGACGCTATTTCAAACAAACGAACAAAAAAAACTAAACAAACCTGTGAAAACAATGGAAATAATGCATGAGATTGTCACTACTGCCAACCAGCAAACTACTGTTACCCTGAGAGGACTGAACATAGGACAATCGGATGAAGCAATGACTGGCTTTTGGCTCCTGGCTACGACAAAATCCAAAGGAAGAAATGACTCGAGTCCAATTAAGGATATAAAAGTCGACATTTCTAACTCTGAAGGACGTATCTCGAAACAGGACACTCACCAAAACATTAACATCTTACTCTCCGTGTGATCAATTGTTACTTCCTTTTCTATATTTTTAAAAACATCCACTTTTAAACAGGGCTAGCCTAGGCCGTCAAGAGTCCAAATTTTAATTTTGTCATCACCTGAGTAGGTGACCTAGTCAAATCGCATCTTTAATGGTGAAAACTGGACAAGTTCAAATCTCCAAATTCTCAGTTCTAAGTTTCACCGGTTCCTGCGCTTTCGCCAAGTGAAGCATTTTGAGCCTCGCGGCTCACCGTCCGCGCAGCCTCCAGAAGCAGCCGTAAACTCCGCCCCCTGCGCTCAGGACGGCGCGAAAACCCAATTGACAAGAACTCCCTCCGCAGCCCTCCGGTCCGATCCGCGTCCCGATTGCTGTCCCCACCTGGACACCAGTCTCGAGCTATCAGCCTGGAGCACCCGCCTGGGGAGCACCTTGCACCCACCGGCCGCGCCCTGGGAGCCTGGTTGCCCGCGCTTTTTTACTGCCTCTTTCCGCGTTTAGCTGGGCTGAGCTGGGCCCAGCCTCTACGCCGGCTCCATCCCGGTGGTCCCGGGGGGCGCGGGGAATCCGAGACGGACTCGGCATCCCAGCAACTCGCTCCTGCAGGAGCGAACTGCCTCCATGGCCTCCAAGAAAGCCAGCCCGGACCGCGCAAGGTCCTAGGAGCCGGGAAGCAAGGAGCATGGTGGGGGTCCTAGCCATGGCGGCTGCAGCTGCTACCCCTCCCATGAAGGACTACGAGATCGAGGTGAGGTTGATTATCGAGTTCCTTACTGTGCTGGATTGGGGTGAGTGGAAAGTTGCTTTCCTCTTTGTCTCTACGAGGGGAAAGGAGGAACACTGTAAGGACCCATAGTCATGACATTGCGTGGGAGAGTTGCCAAAGTGTGTAGTGTCTTAGAGTTTGAGATAAGTCCTAAAAAGCGTTGTGGGATATTTGTGGGGTCATGGTAAACATGAATTTAAGATACCATGGCCAGTTCCCGGATCCTGATATGTTGGTGGACTGTGATGTTTTGGACTTCAGACATGTCACGAAGTCAATTTCTGGATTCATGATGTGGAATCATAAAACTTTAGCACTGAAAAAAGTCTTTAAGTTCAACTAGTTCATTTACCTGTTGTAGACATGCCACTTAGGATGTCACTCCAGGAACCAAACAAGGTACTTAGTAAGGAAATCAGTTTCTTATGGCTCTAGTAGGACTTAATATAGGGTACTGCAGTTAAGAGTCCCAGCGTAGGGTAATGATGTTTTCCTGTGTTTAATAGGTTTCAGTGAAATGCACTAAGCAGTCATTATAACGAGAGTAACTTGCTATATTTTTACACCTTTTCATCTCAGGCTGGCTTTCTTTTTTTTTTTTTTTTGAGACAGAGCCTCAAGCTGTCCCCCTGGGTAGAGTGCCATGGCATTACAGCTCACAGCAACCTCCAACTCCTGGGCTCAAGCGAGTCTCCTGCCTCCGCCTCCCAAGTAGCTGGGACCACAGGCGCCCACCACAACACCCGGCTATTTTTTGGTTGCAGCCGTCATTGTTGTTTGGCGGGTCCGGGCTGGGGATTCGAACCCGCCACCTTAGGTGTATGTGGCTGGCGCCTTAGCTGGTTGAGCTATAGGCGCTGAGCCTCAGGCTGGCTTTCTAACTGAGGTATGTCTTAGCATCCTTGAAGTGAGCTAAGATGTATGCTCATTTAACTGTGACTCTTAGTTTTTTAGAATGCAGTGACTTTTGTCTACTTAATAGTGACATTGGTACATGTTTGCTAAATCAAGTCAGTTACTTAGCTTGTCCCAGGTGTAAAGAAAGACTTCTGGTACTTGATTTATACAGTTCTTGATTTTTGTATGGTGAGTCTTGTCAGTCTTTTGGTTACAGTTTCTGTTTTTTACTACCCTTAGTGCCCTGCTTGAAGAGCTTATTTCATAATAATGATACTGATTAACATGGTAAGAATAAGGGCTTTATACATATTATTTTGCTTAATGATGTGGGTATTATTACCTACATGATGAGGTATTATTATCTGCATTGTACAGGTGAAAGAAGATTAAAAAGCAATTAAAAGTAAGTTAAATTAACATTTTAAAAATAATAAATTAAAAAGTGAAAAATAATTTGCTTAAGGTTCCACATCAGTAGATATCAGAGCTAACACTTGTGTTTAGAGCTGCCTGACTCCAGAGTTTACTATATAGTATCTGTAATACCATCTCAGTATTACATAAATAATAACCTGTTAGCATTTTCTACCACATTTGTTATTTCCTTTTAACATGTACAGTTTTTATCTGTCTGTAGTTTATTTTGCCTCACATTTATCCAGATGGTTAGAAATTTGTCCCAGGCTAGGTGTGGTGGCTCACACTTATAATCCTAGCACTCTGAGAGGCTGAGGCGGTGGATTGCTTGAGCTTATGGGTTCAAGATCAGCCCGAGCAAGAGTGAGACCCCATCTCTACTAAAAATGAAAAGCTGAGGCTCAGTGCCTGTAACTCAGCGGCTAGGGCACCAGCCACACACACAGAGCTGGCGGGTTCGAATCCAACCCTGGCCTGCCAAACAACCAAAAAAAAAAAAAAAAAAAAGCCAGGAGTGTGGCGGGCTCCTGTAGTCCCCGCTACTTGGGAAGCTGAGGCAAGAGGATCATTTAAGCCCAAGAGTTGGGGGGTTGCTGTGAGCTGTGATGCTGTCACCACAGCATTCTACCCAGGGCAACAGCTTGAGTCTCCAAAAAAAAAAAAAGAAGAAAAACTAAGGCAAGAGGATTACTTGAGCCTAAGAGTTTGAGGTTGCTGTGAGCTGTGACGCCATGGCACTTCACCAAGTGAGACAGTGTCAAAAAAAAAAAAAAAATTGCCCTAGTGCCATTCATTAACTGCTCCTTTGCCCATTAACCTAGATGCTACTATTACCATATCTAAGTTTTAAAATATTTACTTATGTCTGGCTTTGGTTTTCTTTTTGTTTTGTAAAATTTTATTTGTTTACCTTTTTTTTTTTGCAGTTTTTGGCACCAGCGCTGGGTTTGAACCTTCCACCTCTAGCAAATGGGGCCGGTGCCCTACTCCTTTGAGCCACAGGGCGCCACCCTTGTTTACTTTTTGACACAGGGTCTCTGTTGCCCAGACTAGAGTAGGATGATGTCATGATACCTCACTGCACCTCACACTCTTGGGATTATTACCTCCCCAGTAATTGAGACTACAGGCGTACACCACCAAGCCCTGCTAATTTTTGTGCTTTTTTTTTTAGAAACAGAGTCTTACTTTGTTGCCCTTGGTAGAGGGCTGGGGCATCACAGCTCACAGCAAACTCCAGCTCTTAGGCTTAGGCAGTTCTCTTGCCTCAGCCTCCCAAGTAGCTGGGACTATAGGTGCCCACCATAACACGTGGCTAGTTTTTTGTTGCAGTTTGGCCAGGGCTGGGTTGGAACCTGCCACCCTTGGTATATGGGGCCAGGCCCCCTACTCACTGAGCCACAGTCACCACACGTGCTTTTTTTTTTTTTTTTTTTTTTAAGACAGAATCTCACTCTGTGGCTCTGGGTATGGTGCCTTGACATCATAACTCGTAGCAGCCTCAAATTCCTGGGCTCAGCTACTCAGCCTCCTCAGTAGCTGGGAGTATAGGTGCCCACCACAATGTCTAGCTAGTTTTTGTATTTTTAGTAGAGACAGGGGTCTCGTTCTTGCTCAGGCTGGTCTCACACTCCTGAGCTCAAGGGATCCTCCTGCCTTGGCCTCCCAGAGTGCTGGGATTACAGATATGAGCTCCACGCCCAGCCCTGTACTTTTCTTTGAAGAGACAAGTCTTGATTTGTTGTTCAGATTGGTCTTGAACTCCTGGCCTCAGGTGATCTGCCAGCCTTGGCCTTCCAGAGTGCTAGGATTATAGACTGTGCCAGCCACTGTGTCTTGGCCTGTTTCTGGTTTTTTTTGTTCCTGGTTTTCTAATTTGTTCACTTGCTTATCCATGTAGCAGTAGTATGCATTTTTCTTTTCTTCCCTCCCCTACATTACTATGCTTTTAATCACTATAGCTTTATGTTTTACTTTTCTAGAAATATAAATCCTCCATTCATTACTTATCTTTTTTTTTTTTTTTTTTTGCAGTTTTTGGCCAGGTCTGGGTTTGAACCCACCACCTCTGGCACGTGGGGCTGGTGCCCTACTCCTTGAGCCACAGGCACCACCCCTACTTATCTTTTTTAAAAAATGTTCTTGTTATTCTGGCAAGTTTATTCTACTAAATGAACTGAGAAAAGCAAAAATTAAAGAAAAGACTGATGGCACTTTTTATTATTTATTTGTTTATTTTATTTTTTTTGAGTCAGAGTCTCACTCTGTCACCCATAGTAGAGTGCTATGGCGTCACAGCTCACAGCAACCTCAAGCTCCTGGGCTTAAGCAATTCTCTTGCGTCAGCCTCCCAAGTAGCTGGGACTACAGGTGCCCGCCACAACGCCCAGCTATTTTTTTGTTGTAGTTGTCATTGTTGTTAAGCTGGTGTTGACCGGGTTTGAACCCACCAGCCTTGGTATGTGTGGCTGGCTCCATAAGCACTGTGCTCTGGGCACCGAGCCTATTTGTTTATCTTAATGTGACTTTTTGTAACCAATAAGGTGATATCTGTTTTCTGCTATGCAAGTTACTTTATTTTTAATATCCTTTACTTAAAGTCAATGTAAATTACTACTTTATGACCAACAAAAATAATATAACTATGCTTAAAGTTATAGTCATTTTGATACCGTGAAGAGTAATAGCTAATGCAGGAAGGAGGTTGTAGTAGCTTGTAGTAGCAAATTGAACCGTTGGATGGGTTGGTGGTAGGTGATCTTTCACCGTAATTTCTTCTGCTTTGTTAATAGAGTTTGGATCTTGGCTTGTTCACTAAAAATCCATTTCTTAGAAGTGGAATAATGTGTTTATTTATTTATTTGTTTTTTATTTTTTTAGAGACAGAGTCTCACTTTGTTGCCCTTGGTAGAGTGCTATGGTATCACAGCTCACAGCAACCTCCAGCTCTTAGGCTTAGGCGATTCTCTTGCTTCAACCTCCTGAGTATCTGGGACTACAGGCGCTTACCACAATGCCTGGCTATTTTTTTGTTGCAGTTTGGCCGGGGGGGCAGGTTCCAACCTATCAACCTACGTATATGGGGCCAGCGCCCTACTTACTGAACCACAAGCGCCGCCCTTTTTATTTTTATTTTTATTTATTTATTTTTGAGACAGAGTCTCACTATGCCACCCTCGGTAGAGTACAATGGCATCATAGCTAATAGCAACCTCTAACTCTTGGGCTTAAGCAATTCTCTTGCCTCAGCCTCCCAAGTAGCTAGGATTACAGGCGCCTGCCACAATGCCTGGCTATTTTTGTTGTTGTTGTTGCAATTGTCACTGTTGTTTGGCTGCCCCAAGGTGGATTCAAACCCACCAGCCTGGGTGTATGTGGCTGGTGCCCTACCCACTGAGTACGGTTGCCACCCTGATATAAACTTTTTATTGAAGTATAGTATGTGTACAGAAATTATGCAGAAATTGTGCAGAAATTATGAGTGCACAGCTTGATATGATGCTGAGATTTGAATGTAGGTTTAACTTGAAAAGTTGGTTTTTAGCTGGGTACAGTGGCTCATGCCCATAATCCCAGCACTCTGTGAGTTCTAGCCAGAGGATTGCTTGAGCTCAAAATTCTGAGACCAGCCTGAGCAAGAGGGAGATCCTGTCTCCACTGAAAAAAAAAGAAAAATTAACCATGCACAGTGGTGTGTGCCTGAAGTCTGGCTGAGGCAGGAGGCTTGCTCGAGCCCAGGAGTTTGAGGTTGTAGTGAGCTATGATGAAGCCACTGTACTCTAGCCTGGGTGACAGAGTGAGACTTTGTCTAGAGAAAAGAGGTACATTTTCTTTATAATAGATCAGGTTTTTCAGGCTTCCTTTATTTTTAATCCGATTACTCCAAATAATAGATCCATGTTTAAAATGTATATTTTGTATTATTTTGCTGAAATAAATACCCTTTTTTTCTTTTAAATTGCTAGCCATGCAAAAAGCGAAGGAAAGATGGTGACAGATCTTCATGCAAAACAATTACAAAATATTTATCACCAGTAGGGAAGACTGGAGACAGAGTTTTCACTTCACCAAAACCCAGTAATATTCTGGATTATTTTAGAAAGACTTCACTCACAAATGAGAAGACACAGTCAACAAGAGGATATAAGACAAAGTCATCTACATCATTGTCCATTGACAGTAGCAAAGACTGTAAGGCACCTTTGGAAATATTCTCAAATAAAGATCTTAAGAAGAAAGGAAAGAGGGTTAATTTATCTCATCGACTAAATAATATTAAAACTGCAAGTGAATCTCCCATTGAAATTAATGATGATGATAGACAAGAATACTCTAGCTTAAGTAGTGATTTTGAGGAAAGTAGTACTTCTGTTTCACTTTATAAGAAACACGTGGAGGTACTTGCAGAGAGCATTCAGGATATAAAAAATCAGTCAAGTACCCTGACCTCCAAGAAAGATTCTAAAAAAGTAAATCCTCGACAAGGGACCACAAAAAATGATTGCAAAAAGTTGAGAAAAAGGAAGAACAGAGATGTAATAGATCTATCTGAAAGTTTACCCTTGGCGGAAGATGTAAATATGCGTACAAAAGATGGTAGAGATAGTAAACAGATAATGCCTTTCCTAACTGATGGAATTGAGGCTCGTACAAATGATGTAAACTCTAGAAATACGGTAACTAAAATAGCCCAGCTAAATGATGCTACAATAACTGTCTCATACGAGGAGTTTTTAAAAAGTCACAAGGAAAATAAAGGGGAACAGATACCAGACTCCACAGTGTCCATTTGTGTTCCCTCTGAAACTGTTGATGAGATAGTCAAAAGTGGTTATATAAATGATCCAGAAAACTATGAAATTTCCCACCAGGTACGCTTTAAGACAGTTACTGTTCTTGCACAAGTTCACCCTCTTCCTCCCAAAAAGAGTGGGAGAATACCCCGAATTTTCTTGAAACAAAAGAAATTTGAAACGGAAAATAGTCTATCCGATCCTGAGAATGAACAGACGATTCAGAAAAGAAAATCTAATGTTGTCATACAGGAAGAAGAATTAGAATTGGCTGTGTTGGAAGCTGGAAGTTCTGAAGCCGGGAAACCAAAATGCACTCTCGAAGAAAGACAGCAGTTTATGAAAGCATTTAGGCAGCCAGCATCAGATGTCCTTAAAAGTGGAGTTAAAAAGTCTTCTGATAAACAGAAAGACCTTCATGAAAAATCTCTGAATGAGGGAGGAAGAGAAAATTCTAAAAAAATCATGGAAAATCCTAGTATGCAAATGGTTTTAAATAATGACAATTCACAATCACGCACTGATAAAGGAGCTTTTCCTAAGTTGAAAAGTAAAAAGCTAAAGAAAAAGGGTAAGAAAACATTAGATACTGGAACTATTCCAGCTGAAAACAGAGAGAGAAACACTCGAAAGAAAGAAACCACCTTTTCCGTAAAAGATAAACAAAATCAAAATAGGCTTAGAATGAGTTTAAGACAAAAGAAAACAGAAGTCTTCAAAAGCAGCACTTTATTTAACAGCCGAAGTCTTGTTTGTGTAGCAAATGATGACCCTGTAAAGATTTCCCATTTATGTAACAACAATAAATCATCAAGAAAAACTAGCACACCAGTTAAAGATGATAGGGTTATGCATTCTAAAGCTGAACCTGAAGACAGCTTGGTAATTGTTTCTACGCCCAAATCAGCCAGAAGATCTATAAGAAGTAGAAGCATGCCTGCAATCATAACCATTAGTGATACCGATTCTGAAGATGCACAAGATAATGCAGTAAAGGCTTCCACTCCAAAAGCAGCCAGCTTATCAGAAAAGCATAGCTTATATACAGCGGAATTAATAACAGTACCCTCTGATTCAGAGAGCCCTATTAGGTAAACTTTTGTTCTAATATTCTGCATGTATTATTACCTGGGGAGGAACATACAAGTATTGGAGGATATTATTTTTCCTAGAAAACAGCTAATTTCTAAGAAAAAGAGAACAGAGTTTCCAAACATGCTCGTTTTCCACATTTGATTTAAAGTTAGGCAAAATTTCAGAAGAGTTCTAGATATATTTTAGGTGGATTAAACTCTTATTCATCACAGTTGCTAATTCCTGGAGAATATCCTTCAAATATGATTTCTGTGCATTGAACAAATGGGAGATTAAAAGTAAGATGTAATCCCAGCCACTCTGGGAAGCTGAGGCAGGAGGATGGAGTGAGGCCAAGACCAGCCTGGGCAACACAGTGAGACCCTTTTTCTACCAAAAATAAAATTATCCAGGGATGTTGGCATGTACCTGTAGTCCTAGCTGCTTGGGAGGCTGTCGCAATAGGATTGTTCGAGCCCAGGAGTTTGAGGCTGCAGTTAGCTATGATCCAGCCATTGCACTCCAGCCTGGTGACAGGGCAGGACCCCATCTTTAAAAAAAAAAAAAATCATCAGGCGGTGCCTGTGGCTCAGTGAGTGGGGCTCTGACCTCAATACTGAGGATGGTGGGTTCAAACCCGGGCCTAGCCAAACTGCAACAACAAAATAGCCGAGCATTGTGGCGGTTGCCTGTAGTCCCAGCTACTTGGGAGGCTGAGGCAAGAGAATGGCCTAAGCCCAGGAGGTGGAAGTTGCTGTGAGTTGTGATGCCATGGCAC